ATGTGTTTTTAAATGGACCTTAATTAAAGGTGTTGAGTCAAAAAACGAAAATTCGATAAAAATTTCCAAACGGACAGAAAAGTGCCAGTTTATTCGATTGTATTATTTTGACGAGCGCCTGATTTCATCACGATGTCTCACAAAATGTGTGTTCTGATCCGGCCTGACCTGTCTTTTACATTTTCCCCAAAAGAACTGGGTCTCCTGTCGTAAATTTCACCAATTCAAAATGTCACAGTGAAGACTAGAGGGGAAAAACGACTGTAGTCACAAACGGAAAATCGTGAGGGTACCAATTTTTGAACGCTTGTTGACTCATAACTGTATTTCTGTTCAACTGTTGGTTGATTATTGTTGTTGGATTTCCCATTCAAGCTTTTAAAATTGGCACCCTCACAATTTCCAGTTTTTGACAACAGTAGTTTTTCCCCTATACACTGCATGTAAATGTGTGTGTTCTGATCCGGGCCTACGCTTTCTGTTACATTTATTCCCCCCCCCCCTCCCGGGAACTGGGTTTGCTGTCGTAATTTTCACCCACGCAAAATATCACTGTTATCATCACCAGGCGCCATCAGCAATAATAATAATAGTATGGTTACCTCTTTCATGTGCTAGCCAATTTCTTTATTTCTTTTGCAAACTCACGAGCGCAGAACGTTTTAGTTAGCCAATAGAAAACATCGCATCGTTATTATTAGAGTAAAGTTCCTCTGTGATCTTTGTTTCTTCAGAACCACGTACAACAGTGCAAAAAGGACAACTGTGCAAAAAGGTATTGTTTCAGTCTCGTCTTTTGTAACCTCAGCTAACAGGTTGCATGTGTTAGCACATACTGCTATTTGTAAGGAATTTCACAGGTTTTGTTTGGCACAGTACGAGCGGGGGCTCTCGTGGCCTAGACGTTAAGGTGTTGGCCTCTCAGTCAAAGGTCCCGGGTTCGAATCCGGGTAGCGATCGAAAAATTTTCTTCTCTAAAATTGTCTCCTTTCACCTCATTTCCTGCTCTTTAGCAACGCTTCTGCCCCCACCCTCTCATCTCCTTTGCCCCCTCCTCTGGGCTCCTGACTCTTTCTGCAGCCTTTCTACTGGGACTCATTGGCTCTTTCTTACTGCAGCGCCGTCTTTCAGCCACACCCCTGATCTTCTGGTAGGAAATATCAACACCTCGACTTCTCGGACATGATCGAAAAATCTCGGAGGGCCTCTGTGCAAGTTGCGCACGTTAAAGACCCCTTCGTGGTCTAAAAATAATTGAGAAGAGTAGGCTTCGGCCGCCACCCGCGCAAAATTCAAAATTTCCTACCAAATTAAAAAGTTTAACGTGTCCCGCGCGTTCATATGACCTTATGCAGTTGCGAGCGCCGTAAAACACTTCACAAAAAAAATTATAAGCATCAACGATTGTGGTTGTGGTAGTGATGGTGTAGTGACCACGGTCTTCATCGTAGCGAGCAGAGGGAAAGGGTTCCACCTTCGCACTGAAAAGTCTGATTTTTGATTTATGAACTCACTGGATGTAGAATCCCACCTGACCCTGACAAGAATAAATCGAAGCTGCTGTCTCCAAAACTACCAAAGTTATTATAATCTAACATGTAACTTACTCTATCTTTTGTGTGTTTATTTCCAAGACAGTCGCCGTTACCATAGCAACAGGACGTTCAGACACTATTAGAAGAGAGGTTTAATATTGTATAAAATCACACAGGACATTTTGATTTCAAAAGAGCTATTAGAAGTGAAATTAGATATTATTTTAGTAGCTTCTAAATACAAAATTTCATTATTACAGCCAAAGAACAAAAGTATGTTTTGTTACTCACTGAACTTCGTGAACACTGTAGCCTATGGCAACGGTGTGTTTGAAGGCGCCCTGATAACGTTCAAGGTATAAGCCTACATCTTTGCCTTCATGTGGTATCGGTTGTCTTAGATGTGCAAGCATTTCGGGAAGTCAAAGGTCACCTCGCATTGCTGATCGGGATCGTTTTATAGTTGTGTTGGTTGTAAAATGTTTACTTTTTCACCCTCTTTCCTTCTCTTTCTCTCGATGTCTATCTCGTTTCAATCTCCCTCTCTCTCTCTCTCTCTCTCTCTCTCTCTCTCTCTCTC